GATCAGATAGCAATTTCGGGTTTTCAAGATGAAATAAAACTCAATTTTTTCTATACAAAAAATGAACTTTAATCAGCTCAAAATACACACCTTAGCAATCTTACCAAATTGACAACATGATCTTTCCTCGAGCATCTCAGCTTTTGATATTGAAATTGTAATTTAGTTTAAACACCAATTTGCCACTAGAACAAGAGAAAAGAACCGGACAATACCTTACCTTATAAAACACTGCAGCATCTCCATGCCAAAATAAAATAATTGGTTTGAACATACTACTAAAACTCGCAGTAAACTGACAGCATACATTTAGTTAATACAATCACCAACATCTTCATTTATCACAAGTAACTGTTTATTTCACCATCACGTCCTAACAGTTCCATAGCAAAATTAACTATCCAACTTTTTCTTGGCAAGCACGATTACAAGCTTGTGGACCTTCCTCTTATGAATATTCAGTCTTTGCTTCGAAGCAAACTTGCTCCAGCACAGATCGCACTGATAGGGCTTTTCGCCCACGTGCCCCCTCATATGGACCACTAGAGAAGGTTTTTGAGTGTAGCGGTTGCCGCAAATTGTACACTCAAAGGGTTTCTCACCGGTATGACTTCTCATGTGAAGTAGCAGATGCTGCTTCCTAACAAAGCTCTTCATGCATCCTTCGTAGGTGCATTTATTGGGTTTTTCCCCACTATGGCGCATCATGTGAAGTTTGAGTTCGAAGCTCTGCCTGAACTTTTGGCCACATAAATCGCACATGTATGTGGCTCCTTCTCCTGAGTGAGACTCCCTGTAATGTCTTTCAATTCTTCTGTAAGATTTGTTGCATAGTTTACACTCGGTGGTCTTTGTGGTAGTTGGACGAGGTTCTTTATGTACGCGCGCTTGATGTCTTTTTAGATAACTTGCAACCGAAAACTTCTTGCCACACATGTCGCATACGAAGGATTGTGGATTGGAATTGTGCATCACCTCCATATGCCACTTACATTGATGCTTGTATACAAATCCTCGATCACAATGTTCACAGAAAAAGTTATAGTTCTTCTTATGGCCTTGCAAGTGTAGCTCAAAATAGCGCTTGTTTCTTATTACTTTCTTGCAAATGTCGCACTGATAATTCCGCTTGCAGTTGTGAATATTTTTTGTATGAATCGCCAAGGAAGTGCTGGTGTTAAAACACTTTACACATAAAGAGCATTTAAACGACAAGTCACAACTATGAGTGGTTTGAAGATGTTGATCCAGCTTTCTTTGACTGGGAAAAGTATAGTCGCAGCTGTGACATTCAAACTTTATTCGGGAAACATTATCTGGATCCAATAATTCTGCTTCTTCAAACTCTATGAGCTCCTCTTTAGGCCAGTGTCTACAAAACAGCTTTGTGATTAATGGATATAAATATGTGGGGTGTAAAACAACAAAGCAAACGACCGTTAAAAAATAGGGATTCTTTATTTTGTAAAAGTATTAAACCAATAATAATTAACTACCAAATCAATTTTCGCATCTAAAAAACGGCAGTTCTGGTGTAAATGTAGACTATTATTGTTAAAGTAATTGCATCTGTATTAAAAGAAAATGTATCAGAGAAGCGTGTAACGGCGGCGGAAAGAATAAACAACGGCAAATAAAAACAACATTCAATCACGATTTAAGCAGGAAATTGTATGAATATATAAGAGTACAATAAACATCTTGATGTTTGCGTCTTAATATGTAAAAGTATATTTAAAGATCATAACACTACCTTACTAGCGCTGAATTGAAAAATCACACTCTTAAAAGTACCTAAGTCATTTGATGGAAGTTGTGAGGAAATTTAAACTTAGCCCCTGTTTGACTCTAGTCACCTCAAGTCAACTTTTCATTGGTCGTTACAGTAATCGTGATTGAAATTAAATAAATACGATATTTCGATATACAGAGTGTCTCGTAAGCACACTGTCATTCATCAATTTTATCATTCTTCCTATGTTTTTTGAAGAATTTTGACCATCAAAAGCAGAACAGCCAGGCATTTATTTAAAATAAAAGTTACGTCAGATCACCATCTGACCCCTAAATCCCTTCCATTAAGCCAAAGTAAGTTGCAGTACCCTGTTGATCATGCGCTTACCGGACACCCTGTTAATGCCCAAAAGATGAAATAAATCGGAGATAATTATAAACTATCAATTTTGGAGGATTTTTGTACAACTTGATGTTCATAACTGGAGATAAAAACTTGAGCTATTTAAACCTTTTAACTAAGCACGCGGTTAAAAGAATGTTGAATACTTGGAAATTAAATAAATGTGGCAAAATACAATCAAGTGGTAATTTTTCATATGTGCCACACGAAAACTGTAGCAACCTCCACTAAGTTCTGGATAAAATTAAAATAACCTAAAAATAGGAATTTTAGCGGAGAAGGCAGAAAAATCAGCTTGCACCGAAAATCATGTAGGTCAGAAATATTTCAGCTGCTCGGCACAGAATGCTGGCTTTTAACATGAGCAGTCAAATATTTCCTGCCTGTAAAACTCTTTGAGCAAACCTCACATTGAAAAGGTCGATCGCCAGTGTGGGTATTCGTATGATTATCTAAGACACTCTTCTTAATGAATGTTTTTTCACAGTAAAGGCATTTAAAGGGCTTCACATTGCTCTCTGGATGCGTCCGAAGGTGCTGCTTCAAAAACGTGTTTAGGATAAATCTTTTCCCGCAAAATTCGCAGCAAAATGGTTTGTCCCCTCGATGGATCATCAAATGGAATTTTAAGCCGTCTTTACCCCGGAAGAATTTGTTGCAATATTCGCATTTGTAGTTCTTTCCGTCATTTTCATGGGCAGCTTTAAAGTGGCGCTTCAAGTCCGCGAACCTCTTGTTGCAAATGTCGCACTTTTCTGGAGGAGGACGTTTGTAATTTGGATCGTGCAGTTTCATATGGTTTCTCAGATTGCCTTTGTCTCCTATACTGGCCCCGCAGACATCGCAAATATGTCTTTTACCGTAGTGCTTCGTGTTTAGATGCTTTTTGAGGTAGAAAGTGTTCAAAAAACCTTTGCCGCAATGTTCGCAAAACACGTCAAATATTTTTTGGTGTCGCTTGCGATGAATTTCGCAATTTCTCTTGTTGCTGAACAATTTTCCGCAAATATCGCATGGATACTTTTCCTGATTACCTTCATTGTGAAGAGTCTTGAAGTGATAGTCCAGAACTCTTTGGTGTTTGAAGCTTTTATCACAAACTGAACACTTTAGAGGTCTGGCGTCGCTGTGGACAATCATATGCTTTTTTAAAGAACAGCTTCTCGAAAATCTTTTATCGCATTCCTCACACTTTAAGGTATAAGCTTGCGAGTGCCGGTTGCGATGCACAACACAGTTGCGTCGATTTCCGAAAATCTTCCCACATATATCACATGGAAAGTTCTCCGATTCACCATGAACGGTTTGCTCATGATAGTCCAAACCTCGTTTGTGCTTGAAGGTTTTATTACAAACCTGGCACTTCCACGGCCGTTCTGAACTGTGAATAATCAAGTGATTTTTTATTTTACACAGCTGTGGAAAACATTTATCACAGTAGGGACATTGAAATCCTGCCTCTGTTTTGGTGATGGAAACCGTATCAGTTGCCACTTCTTCATTGTCTGAGTGTGGATCACTGCCCTCTTTTACTCGTATCTGGTACTTACATGGAATTTTCCTGAAAATGATTAGTTGGATTAAATTAGTCTAATCACAGATTGCATAAATTAAAATATTTATTGCAAAATAGCAGATATACACGTAAGTATGTCTCTACATAGATTTATACTAATGACTTGCAACAAATTAGAGTCTAACATTAGTTACAACACCAACATCCATTAAATATTAAACAAAATCTTAATTAGCCGACGTCCCCGTATGGCGGAAACTTGTCATGATAAGTAATCTTATGTTGTACCAAACTCTTGCTTTGTAGGAAAATTTTTTTGCAAATATCACAAATGTACGCGTCGCCTCCAGTGTGTCTCATTTTGTGAAGCTCATATTTAGTCCTTCCGAAAAATGATTTATCACATTCATGACACCGATAGGGCCTATCCCCGGTATGACCCAACAAATGCCTTTGTAATATGGGATCGGTTACAAATCCTTTATCACAAATTGAACATTTATAGGGTGTATCATTCAGATGAAGTTTCATGTGGATGGCCAAGTTTACTTTAGAGTAGTAGTATTTGCCACAAACCTGACACAACACCCGATCAGCGTTACTTTTATCGTGCATTTTTTTCACGTGAACAGCCATAACCGCCTGCCTAGTAAACCTTTTCCCGCAAATATGACATTTAAAAGGTTTTTCATCCACATTGTGTAGCGACTTAGTATGTCTTCTAAGTCGTTCGGCATTTGTAGTAACAAAATCGCAGAAACGGCATGAGTATGTAATTGTGGCTGTGGGTTTGTAGATAAAGCTTTTACGGTCTTTGTGGCTATCAATATTTTCACGCTCCCGACTGCCAGCCGAATTAACATTATGCACGCTTCTCAAGTGGATCTTCATACTAAATTTCCGGGTAAACTTCTTTTCGCAAATATTGCACTGAAACGGCTTTTCAGTGACTTCATGTTCCATTTTATAGTGTTGGCGTAACAAAGTCCTGTTCGAAATTAGCTTATCGCAAAACTGGCAAGTGTAAGATGAACTTTTACATTTTTCGGTGTTTTTTGCTTGGTCTACTTTCAATAATTCTTCGAAAAAGGATGTCGATTCAGTCACGGACTTGCCAATTTCCAATCCTGCAGTGTTACAAGTAGACTGAGAATCAATTATTTCTAAACGAATTATTTCGCAGCTAAAATAAAAAACATAGGTTAATTTTCGGAAACCTTTTAAAATCTGTCTAATGTTTATAAATTAATTAGAAATCGGAGTAAATGGAGTATTTTAAATTTTTCATCACAATTGCTGAAGTAAATATCAATTGGAAATTTGGTCAAGTAAATATAAACAAATAAATTGTTTTTACAAATATATTATCAAACATGTTCAGATAATAACGTCGTTAATGACCAGAACAAACATTAAAAAGCTAGTTTTAATGTAACAATTTTAATGTATAAATATAACGAAAACTGAAAAAAATATATGCAAATTTCGCTTTCAGACTCAGAACGAAAAAGGAAGAAACTGTTTGACCTGTATTGAATATCAATCTAAAACTAAGTTTTGCTTTAAGAAAATACGCTGAAATTAAGTGTCTCACAATAAAAAAACACACAAACACAACAAGGCTCTAAAACGTGCATTATTGCACAGCATCCTGTAACTGATAACTAGAATAATCAATTTCAACACCTCCTACATCATGAGTTTTATAATGGGACATCAAATGGCTTTTGGATATAAAATTCCTTCCGCATTCACACCTGTACGGTCGTTCTCCAGTGTGATACCTTAAATGCTCGGTCAATGAGGTTTTCTGCATGAAACTTTTCGGACATATGGTGCATTGAAAGGGTCTGTAGCCTGTGTGGATTCGTTGATGGATTTGCAGATAACCTTTGGAGGCGAAAAGTTTCTTACATATTATGCAGTGGAAGTCCTTTAATCCAGTATGCATTTTGATGTGCGTTTCCAAAGTGCTTTTACTGCTCAAGGATTTCCCACATATTGAACAAACATATTGCTTTCTCTGAGAGTGGATTTTCTTATAGTGCTCCTTAAGACTGCGATTAGTGCTATATGATATATTGCACACATTACAGATATGTTCCATCTTATGTCCAGACTGCCGATTGTGGATTTCCATATGTTCCTTTAGTGCTGATGAAGTACGCAATATTTGGCCGCAAGTATCGCAAACAAAGCCTCCATTCGCCATATGCACTGAGTTCTTGTGGCGGTTGCATTCATGTTGAGATATGAAACCTTTACTGCATATATCACAGAATGTGGTAAATTGCTCCAAATGGCGCTTTTTGTGGGCATTCAAATTGGATTTGTGTTTGAACTTCTTAGAACAAATATCGCACTGAAAACTCGGACCAGAATGGGAACGGGAATGTGCAATCATCTCATATCTGAACATGAAAACCTTTCCACATGTTTCACAAGGAACTGCCGGTAACTCATTATGACGCATCAGATGCTTCTTAAGCAGTTTTTTAGTTGCAAATACCTTCCGGCAAATATCGCAGGTAAATTCAGAGACCTTTGTAGCTTTGGCATGCATATCTGGAATATCGCTTGGGCGTCCCGAAAGAGGTTGAACATCAGTGAGTTCCACAAAATCACTGAGCGTCCCAAACTGATTATTGCTGGCAATATTATTTAAAATAGCCGTACACTCCTCTTCAGTGGATAAAAGATTCAACAGCTCATCTGAAGCATTCAGCTGATCCACAACAGAACTAGCAACCATATTTTCCGGCTTCTGGCAATCAAATGTTTCCATCAGATTTAAGTGGCTCTCCATGTTGAAAGATGGGTACATGGTTTCGGAAAATAGAAGCCTAAAATTTTAAAATAATGGATTAGGAAATATTTATTTAAATAAATATTGCGCAAAGAATGTTACTGAAAACCCGTATTACGATATTTTGAATGACTTCTGAATTGCTCCTGTTATTTCGTAATAAAAAAGCAGCCCCACAATGAAATCCATCGGAAAAAAATGCATGATATAAGATGATACTGCATATTTTACCGATTTTACGGGATCACTTAGCAAATGCCATTATGCAATACGAATAACGTTTGAAATGTGAAAGAAGAGAAAACATGGTTCATATGATAGATGACCTAAATATTTTACATTATTAAGAAAATCCCGATACTAATGTTAATAATGTTGTCTTATAACGCAATAAATTGGTTTTATTTTATTAAATTGATTTTATTTGCTTCGAATTGCCCTACTAATTTACCAATTTAACGGGTATATAAAATTTACTGACCTTAATTTCCCCAAAACGGAAAAGTTTCCTTCTAAAAAAGGCTTTATTTCCAGCTTCTAAACAAAAAAAATTCTTATCAATTATGCAGTTTGATACAATTTGTATTAAAGAATAACCCCTGAAGTAGTATCAAACAAATGCGAAAAATTAAATACTCTTAACTCATAAACACATTTTATTTTTTAGCCAGAAATTCACTATAACTAAATATACAGGGTGTTCCGTAAGCACATGATCAAACAAGTACCGCGACATTCTTTTGTTCAATAGAAGGCAATCTGAACTTTTATTAAGAAAAAAATGTCTGGCCCTGCCGTTGATGGTCAAGGTTCTTCAAAAAAAATGTTTTTTAAAATATTGGGAAAATAATACAATGGACTTTAAGGAAACTCCTTGTGAATTTGTCCTTGTCTCATATTTTGATAAAACAACCGAGTTAATCCGCTTTGGCAAGTGGTAAATTATTAAGTGTAATGATACAAAAACTACCAGATCTTTTTCTTTCGTAGTTGGAATCAAGTCATTATTTTTCAGTTGATTCACGAATCATTTTTGACATGTTCATGCTCTTTGCCAAATTTTGTAGAACTCATAGTTTTTGCGCAAAAACGCTATGAATGCTACGAGATTATACAAAGAGCCCTAAAATGTTCAGAAAAGATTAGTGCATTAACTACAACAAATATGTAAAAAGTTCTGTTAGTTTTTGTACCAAGACCACCACTTGCTCACAGTAGATGAACACGGTTGCTTCATCAAAAATCCATCAAATCGTATTTCAAAAAAACTTTGATCATCAATAGCAGAGGAGTCAAATATGTTTTCGTAGTAGAAAATAGGTCAGATCGTCTTCTTTAAAGCCCAAGAATGTCACAGTATCTTTCTGATCATGTGCTTAAGGGACATCCTGCATATAGATCACGTTTAAATAAGAAGTAATAGTAATTCTAACAAGTATAATGATAATAAGACTAAGATACTAACAGATATCAGCAAGTACTCATAATAATAAATTATACTCCGGGGACGTATATGTAATTCCATAAGATTGATTAACTGTTAGACAAATTGTTTCGATCTTCAAAAATTCATTATCGGGCCTAAAGTCGACTCGAAAGACGTTCATCTGGATAAAAAGTTCAATAACGGAAGTCTTTAAGTAACAAATTACGAACCTTAAACATTTTTACCCAATGCACCTAATACTAAGCAAAACTTTCAGCTTTTAGTAAACGAAAAACACTACGAATGAATACTTGAAAATTACATAAACTTCCGCAAAAATATATTGATATAAAATGTGTACAAACTGATCCTGTAATGTTGATCCTCGGCAAATTGGACATTGTATCCAATATAAGCTGATTGATGAAAACTTAAGCAATGCCGTAAAACTCAAGGAGCAATGTATTACTGTCCTTCCTGTTCTCCTGAGACTTCCAGGTCTTGAAGTAAGAAGTTAAAAAACATGAGTTCCTAACAGTACCTAAGACTACATTTACTTACTACCAGTACAATTATTTTTCACGAATTATGTTTATGTGAGTAATAATATAATACAAATGTACACACGAAGATATATATTTTGAGATAACCGACAGAAAACTGTCGTAGTTAATATTAACTACGACAGTTTTCACATGGTTATATGTATGAACTGCTCACTTATAAAATTCCCTGCTCAAATGAAACTCGCATTAAATCGAAATAATTGAAATCCTATTTTGGGCCAATATAATCTACAGATGCATATTGAATATGGACTACTTATTATTGACTTATTAAAGACGAAGAGTTGAGGAGCTTACAGCTAATCAACTTCGTAAGTGACAATTTGGTCTGCGTTCGCGTGATGTCTGTTAGAGGCAAAATTGGGTTGGAAACGACATAATTTAGCATGCCCACTTAGTTTTCGAAATTCCCCTTTACAATATAGGCACCTGTGATTCTTCATGTGTTCAACCAGCTGACTCACGTCGTCAAACATTTCACATTTGAAGAATTTGCAGCTAAACTTGTGATGTTGTTGCTCCATGTGATTTTTGAAATTCAGCCACCTATTGAAATACAGATTGCATAAGACACAAAAGAGATCCGGCATGTCTGTCTCAGACGGTTTCTTAGAAGCATCAATCAAGTCGGTTAATTTTTTTACAAAAATCTTTGGCTTTCCTATGTCGCTATTGGCAGAGCTGGAAGGCTGATCACAAGATAATGGGTCTGTATCAGGAGAGATAGGAACTACCACGGGACGATCTGGTTCTTTCACTTCTGACAACGATTTCCGAGACACGCCAACATGAGCTAAAGGGTCTCTTGCTTGAGACGCGGTAGCGATCTCAGTTGGGTCAACCTTGGGCATTGAAATTTTAGGTCTCGGCGGCGGCGGCGGCGGCCCCAAGCAAACGATTTTATTTTTATTCAAACCATCTTTCAAAAATTTCTGAAACTCACTTTCGTATTCTGTTGCAGGTTCAGTGGTTTTTGGTTTCTTATGTCCAGAATCATCTGGAACTGTACCAAAACTCGTTATTATGGGCATGATCATATCAGAATTATCTTGTAGGCTGTTGACGTCATCGTCATCTGAAACCTGAATTGTCGACCCAACATTTAAATATGGCATTCCCATATTGAGATTGTTCGCAAGATTTTCGTTGAAATGTCGTTTAGATCTATTTCTGTTTGTACGTTTGTCACTTACAGGGGCCAGTTTGGGCATCCATGAGCACGAAGGTCCTCCCGTTACGCTGGTAGAAGCGACAGCAGATTTTTGCTTTTCCGCAGCTTGTTGATTGGCTGGAACTAGAAAATATAACGGTTTTCCAGGCTCAATTGTCGAAAATTCATTTAGAGAATTGATAAACGTGGCTTGGTTCACAGGATTTCCATCACTATTGATTAATAGGTTTGGATTGGTCATAGAATTGATCGACGTGATAGCAGTTGCAGAACCATGAGAAACCAAATGAGGTATTGGATTCATACTATTTATTGTTGGGTTTACTGCTCCAACCGGATAATTATTGGGATTTATAAGTATGTAGCTCTGACCAGTTTGGGGTAGAGAAGCTTGAGTTGTAGTCAATCCAGGATTGGTTACATTTACAAACTGCAAACTTTGATTTGCGACTACCGGATTCAGTACCGAATCGTTTGGTACAAGCTTGTTGGCAGAAAAAGTCCGAGTGACCTTTTCTACTGGCTTAGAAGGATTTTTTACGAAATGAAGCGGCGGTGACGCTCTATTTTCTATACAGTCTTGAGGTGCAATAGATCGTAATGAGGCTTTTTTTGGATGTGGAGCTTTTCTCTTGGCGGGAGCTGGTGATATAGTAAAATTAGAAATTATATCATGCGGCGTTACTCGACAATCATTTTGGACCACCTGAACATCGAAATCTTCACCAGAATGTTCTTCTTTCGGAATGAGTGCTATTTGCTTATGCATTTCTTGATGGCGAATTAAAGTTTTTTCTGAAGCAAAAACATCATAGCAAATGCCACAGTCAAAGATGGGAAATGTTCCTGTTATGGGATTGGACGGATCTGCTTTGTAATTATTCAACTGAACATCCGGAACATCACTTTCTATGGGATTATGGGCTATACTATGAACCGTTACATGATGGCGCATAAGATCAGACCGTTCTTCAAAACTGTCGTCGCACTGTTTGCATTTAAAAGGCAATTTTGTTATTTCCTGTGATGCTTCAGAAACAGAAGTATGTTTCAGAATATGCACCATAAATCCCCCTTTCATACTAAAGTATCTTTTGCATATTTTGCACAGATATTTACACTTGTTGGTATTGTGAAAATGTACTTTTATATCTGACTGATCTTGAAAAGTAACATTGCACGCCAGACATCCGAAATTTGCTTCTGAGCTGTCCAGATCAGGCGGTTTCAAATTCGCGTGATTATGTTCTTGCGAATCTTCTACTTTAGGTACTTCCAAGCCATTGTTTTCTTCAATTCGTTCATTATCTTCATCGGTGTGATGGTCATTTTTGTGTTGAGTTTTGTGTTGATTTAAACCTTCATTTGTACTAAACTTTTCGAAACATATGTAACAGCTGTACTTCTTTCGATCCTCTTGTTTACTATCCATAGTATTAGGATGCTTCAGTACATCTACCAATGAAACAAAACAAGATGTGAAGGTTTCCAGCCTATCGTCATCAACTGCTGTACTTGCATTGGTAATCCTACAAACAAAAGCATGTGTTAGTATATTATTATTTTATTAATATATATGTTTAACCAACTGAATTCGCAAGAGTACCAAAGGAAATTTAACAACAGGATTTTTATTAAATTTTATTATCAACAAGAACATACAGAAAGTTATACCAAAAACAACTTTTTTGGGGATATTTTCAAAAAATATAATATATTTATAGTCTGCATAAATCTGTTTTGTATGAGATAATATGAATACAATATAGTTCCATATTCAAGCACATCTCTCTTCGTGTTGCATGATCGGATTATTCAAAGCCACTTACTTATACCGAGTGGTCCTCAACTAATGTGTCAATAGTCCCTGACATGTTTTCGCAAATATATTGCATTTCAGGCAAATGCGTCTTATCCGAAAGTTAATAGTTTCCGAGGTACGGATGGCAAACTAGTTATATTGGTTAAGAATATATTAAAAAAAAACGAAAATTTTATATACGCTTTGACACCCTGTACTTCGGAAATTATTAACTTTCGGATAAGACGCATTTGCCTGAAATGCAATATATTTGCGAAAACATGTCAGGGACTATTGACACATTAGTTGAGGACCACTCGGTATAAGTAAACAATCTATCACTGTATTTTGTCACATGAGGTGACTACCACTCTGCATAAGATAGAAGTATCACAATACTATCACTAATAATAATAATATCCACTAAGGTCCACTACAGGTCCAATCTGAAAATACCTCAAAGTTCGTTGCGAAATCAAAATACCGGAGGGCATCAATCCATGAATTTGACTTGCACATTTCAAACAATATTACTTGTTATTTTCATTTATTTATTATTGTAGCTTGTGATGAATTAACGATCTGAAATGCATAAAAGTTTTTTTGTGAAGGTTCAGGAGACGTTTCAGAAAGTTTTCTAAAAATCAAGCATTAAGAATGTATGCTCTAGAGGAGATCATACCTTTCAATATGAGTCTCTAAAGTTCGAAATTGTTAATATTTTTCGCAACGAATTTTAAAATATACTTAGATATAATAAAACATACACATGGTGAAATACATTATAAATTAATGTACAAACGCATTCTATTCTATTCTAAAACTTGTAACACAAATGGCTTAAAACCCAACAAAATTAAATGCTAAAACCGAAACAAGTCAATATAAAATTATTAAGACACGTTAACGAGATAAGTAACCGTTTACCATTTTAAAACCTTTAAAACAGCTGATATAACGCTAATAATTTTAGCAGTAACAATATCACGCCTTCAAACAAAAAGAAAAATCTTAAGAGCGAAATTGCACAGCGGAGTTTGAGTTTCATATCACACGTCAAGTTAAATAGCAACTTAGCACGAAAGTACTGCCTCTCTGTAAGCTCGCTCTTAAGCTAACAACAGAACGGTATCAAAAATAATTATGCTTCTTCATGATGTGTTTTTGTCGATTTTCAAAGCTGACAAACGTTTTGAAACAAAAATTACAAATACACCGATTCCTAGCATGTTTGTAGATAAAATGGTCATGAATTTGCTGGTTACGAACAAACCGTGCTCTGCATAACCAGCATTTGCCTATGATTGCACATTTATTTTTTAGAATATGTTGGTTGAACGTATCAAAAGACAGAAACAAATTATCGCATTTGGAGCAACGGAAGTGCTCTCTATTTATATACAAATTTGGCGGCTGCTTAATGCAAACAGATTTCTCCAAAGTTGAGGCAGTCGAGGATTGTTCCCAGTTCTGTACAGGCACTTTCACTGGTTGTGAATTATTATCACAGTGTAAGCTCAGATTCTTATTTACTTCAAAATCAGTATTATTATTGCTTGATCCAGCAACTGGCTCTTTTGGGTTATCAGTTGTCGGAGTCAAAAATGGATCAACATCAGGACGAAGCAAGGCGTAGTCTTCATAGAATGTTTTCACTGCGCCTTTGTCGATTTCAGAATTCTGGTAATGCCAATTTATATGATGTTGCAAAGAACATTTAGTTAAAAACACCTTCCAACAATGCTTGCAGGAAAAAACGTTGCCGTCTTCAGAAGAATCCTTAATATAATCCACAGTTTCCGTAACAGCAACTTGCTTTGGTTTCTTCACAGTTCGTGTACGTCGTTTCTTCTTTTCCTCGCCATCACCTCGAAGTTTTGCTATGTATTTACAGTATTTGTTCTTGTAAGTGGCACGGTGTGTATCGAGATCAACACTAGTAAAGAACCTGGTAGAACAAACGTAGCATTTGTATTTAAATCTGGGAACTTTTACTGTGCCATTTTCGAATTTCAACGTGGTGTTTTGACAGATATCTGCAGCTAATATTGTGCAGTCCTTAATGTCGAATTTATCAATCAGCTCTTGGGACAATAGCCTAAAAATAATGTATTTCAATGGTAAAGCAGGTTTAAAATTGAGTAAAACTAAGAAAAACTTTATATAAAAAGCTGGTTTGTTGATTGGGTTAGTTCCATTTCATTAAATCGTAACTTGCCAATTTGATTTCTTGGGAACGTGATAAGTAAACTCGTGTCATATCAACTTGTTCAAAGTATCGTACTAATAGCACATTGGTTATCATGAAGTCGCCCAGAAATAAATATGCTGTATGTACCTACTTATCCGTAAGTTAGAACCGTATTGATAACTTTAAGAAAAAAGTTTTGCAGCATGGTTAGAAATCTAAAAAATTGCAACTGTGAATGCAACAATTCGTAAATGATTTGCCAAAAAATAATGACTTTTCGAAGAAGAAACTTTACCTTTAATTGCTAGCACTAGCAATTAAACCTATACTTCACAAACAAAAAAATGGGATAACAAATGATTTTTTATTGAGAAAGTAATAATGCTTAAATCAATACTACTGCACTGAACCTCCGCAAAAACTACGAATTTTCATTTTGAAAGTCATACCTTAAAGCTCTATTTGCGAAAAACATGTGTACAGGGTTACTGATTGAACTTCGACCACCCTGTGTTTCTATCTAATTTGAAGTTAAGTTAAAAGTATTAAAACAACAGACCAGACATTGTTTTAATACAATGTCGTACTGTTATTTTATTACGTATTCGAACTATACGCAAAATTCTAAGCCTATTGAAATAATTGGTTACCAACAGGGACAACCCGTAATTTGTGAAATAAAATGGACACAATTTGATTATTTTAAACCGGCACACTCACACCGCAATCTGCAAGGTACAGCCTGCACAGAAATTGGGTATATCCACTAGTGTAAGCACTAGATCGGTGCTTTTTCCTATCGCGTGAAAATATGGCTCCTTCAAGGCGTCAAAAAATTGGAATTGCACTTGCCGCAAACCCTCGGGCCGCTAGAAGAAGAGTGTTCCTAGAACATTGCATTACACTTCCTATTCTTAATTGACGATATACGTTAATTACGAATGAAAATGAACAAACAAATGTAAAATAAATAACATCATTCTTAGTCGGAAAGTTCACATATAGCTGTCGATGTGAGTAGACGTGTTCTAGTCGCGGTGATAGTGGTGTTTACAGTTAGAGGCATACATCGATTAAATACCATTCC